GCGGGAATCGTGTGGTCCATGTGATGCAGGAGAGAGGCGTTCATTGTAGGTTCACCAGATGCATGTGTGGAATATGGACCCAAAGACCATCCTGAGCTGATGAACCTCCAGCCCCCTCCTTCTAGCCATCAAAGAATTCTCTGAAATCCTGAAGAAGACTTTGGGCTGTTACTTGTAGCATGAGGTTTCCGGTTGACTTTATCTACTTCACAGACATATATAAGATGCTTTTCACACATTAGTTGGAAGCAGTTTAGGCAGGACTCAAACCAAGTATTCCAGCAGGGGACATAGGCATCTCAATTGGTAACTTAACTGCTGTGCCAAGTTCCCACTTCCAAGCCCTTCTCTTCAAATACCACTCACAGTATATAACCCCTAAATCCTTCCAGCAAGAGTGCCTCAAGATTCTAGACCCACCCATTTAATGGACAGATACTGTAGACACAGTGTGTTCTAAAATCAACTCCAGAATCTATCCCTACAATATTCTTTATACCATTTTCTGAAACTTGGGGACACACAAATGGCTCTACCAGGAAAGCAGATGTCAGTCTAGATTCTTCTTTTTTGGCCATCTGTTCCCTGCATTCAACTGGTAACTGGATTCTGTGGAATTTATGCTTTCTTCATCTCTGTTCTAACTACTTTGATCTCTAGACCATTCATAGTAAAACTAGCATCTCTTCCTTCTGAGATCATTGCAAGAGTCTGATTGTTCTAGGCCTCCGTGAAACCACCCTTCCTTTCTCACTTACTCAAGTTGCATTTTTAAAATCTGTGTAAACATCATGTCATTCCTCCCTTTACAATCCTTCAGTGTCCCTCATGGTTTTCATAACTGATTCCAAATTCCTCAGGCTCCTGTGCCTCTTGGCCTATCAGCCTTTTTATTCAGACATGGACTAGCTTCCTGGCTTTCTGAGAAGCATGGCTTTAGGTTCAACTTCGAGACTCGTGGTAAACATGACTGGGAGTTGCCTAATTTGCAGTTTGATGTACAGCACTGATGGCTCACGATTCTCACCTGCCTGCAAGATGACTTTTATCTCTGATCTTGCAGTCGAGCGCTTTTAGTCCGGATGTTTGGAAAAACTAACCGAGTAATAAGGGATGAGCTGGAACAGTCAAAGTAACCTACAGATCCACAGTTACTGTAATTGCCCACATAAAATGTGAGCTGCGTAATGGTATGTAAGCCATCTTCCCCAATTTGTTGAAAAAAAAATAGTTGTGTTTGTGTTCAGTTATATTTGTATTTACATTAAGAAGGTTTTACAGGCCCTGTGCAGTAGCCTGGTGGCTAAAGTCCTCCTCTTGCATGCTCTGGGATCCCATATGGGTGCCAGTTCGTGTCGCGGCTGCTCCACTTCCCCTCCAACTCCCTGTTTGGGGCCTGGGAGAGCAGTTGAGGATGGCCCAAAATCTTGGGACCATGCACATGCATGGGAGACCCAGAAGAAGCCCCTGGCTCCTGGGTTTGGATCAACTCAGCTCTGGCTGTTGTGGCCACTTGGCGATAAACCAGCAGATAGAAGATCTTTCCCTCTGTGTCTCCTCTCTCTAAATCTGACTTTCCAATAAAAAATGGATAAATCTGGTTTTTTTAAGGCAAAGTTTTAAAGAAACATACACTAAAGGGTCAACAGGTACTGTGTGGGGGTAGGGGTTCTAGCGTTCTATGGCTTATATGTGCATTTAGGTTCTGATTTTTTACTCAATGATCATGTCTACTATTTTTGGAAAACAAAAAGTTCACATAGAAATTTTATAGCATTTGTATTCTTAACCCACCAAAAGTTTCAATGCCAGAAAAAAAAATGAAGTATTAACTCTTTGCTGATTTATTTTTATAGTATTACATCAAATCCCATGGGTTTCAGCCGTTTTCTATACTTTTTCATTTCTTCAAGCTGAAATGCCTCTGCCTATTCTTCACTGTATCTTAGAACTCTCTCTCTCTCTCTCTCTCTCTCTCTCTCTCTCTCTCTCTCAAGCCCAGTAGCTTCTCTTTTCTTCAAGAATCAGATTAAGTGTCACTCCTGTCCATCCCTCCATTAGGAATCTCCTTTTGCACCTGTTATGTCTGCATGAGGCCGAGGAGCTTTGGTAAATTGTGGCTGCAAGGTCAGCCTGCGGCAGTCTTTGTGCAGCTGTGGACTACGGGCAGGTTTCAACTCTGCTCAGGCTTGGTTCCCTTTAGGGTTTCTTTTGTTTAAGGTAGAGGATACTTCCTCATTTGAGCTGGTCTCCCCAGCAGAGAGCAGGCTGCCTCGGGGAGCAGCCAGTGGGAATATACAGTCATGGCTGTACGCAGTGGTGGTGTTCCTTCCTTGCCCTAGCATGAAAGTTTGTTGAGCACAGGGGTTTTATCTTCTTTTCACCGTGCACCTCCAGTGTCCAGAAGGGGATCTGGAACCCCACGATTACTCGAAGATAGTTGCAGATGCCTAGCACATAAACTGTAGCTCATTTTGGAGTTGTGTATACATTCAGTCAACTCAGCTTTTGCAATCATGCCGTTTGGTTTCTGATGGAACTAAAAACCCACTTGAAGAACCTCCCAGAAACAAAGAGACAGAACTTTGACGAGAAAGTCCCTGTGAGATCTTTTCAAGAACGTGTTGATTTAGCTACTCTCCAGTATTTCTCTTTCCAGACTCTGTAGCCAGTGATTGCCTCTAGCTTGCACTCACTCATAGCAGCTGAAGACAGGTATTAAATCAAGGTCCTGCTGACCCTGAGTTATTAAATACCTCGAGCAGCACGGCCTGGAGACAGATGAGACTCAGCATTCTGGTCCCACCGCAAATTCAGATGAAGTGTATTTTCAGAGATTGACACGTATATATAAATCATAATTAAACACTGGATCTAGTCTTGGACAGATAACTCCTGGTGAGTTAGAAGCTCTTTAGAGAAGATGAGCTGATTAGTTGTCATAGCAGCTCTGGGAACTTGCAGGGAATGTCAACCAGGATGTCCATTTGTGCTGAATAAGGGCCATCAGGAGAGCTTGCGTGTGTGCAGCACTGGATTCGGGAACAGAATATTCCAGAAATGCCTCTTACCCTAATTAGGTGTCTCCTGGTGAGTTTTAATTTGAGACATGCTTAGTCAGTGATTGCAGCTGTCTCACACACAGAAAGCTCTAGCAGGAACCTTCTGACTGTGAGACTCTTTGCAAATGGTCTTTTTAGGAGTACAGTTGAGCATCTTCCTGGGTTCTTGGGGACAGCGCATGACTGTTCCCGTTGAACCATGGTCTCTTCACTCTTTGTTTTTTGAGCTCTTTATTTAGTGGAGACAGTAAGTCATTGACTATCATGTAAGTCAAAAATATGGTTTTTTGAAAAACATACATAAAATATTTGTAAATAAAACTAAATTCAAAGGAGAAAATGTGTCTCTGAATTGCTCACTTCTGGTCAGAAAGCCTAGTCAAGTCTCTCCAGACCAAGCAACTTCCTGGCCACACAAATGCTGGCCCTGGGGCGCTGTCTCAGGACAGCTGCCACACCCTCCCCTCTGGGGACTGCTACAAGGGTTCCTCAGAGACTCAGATGGCTGACAAACATTTGCTCTGCGTCATGATGGAGCTGGCAGCTCTTCACCTGTCACTCCTCCCCATCAGTTGGGAAGGTCCCCATGCTTGCACACACACACACAAGAGTCAGGGGAAGGCTTTCTGTTCTCAACACACACACACACACACACAAGGGTCAGGGGAAGCCTTTCTGTTCTCAACACACACACACACACACACACACACACACACACACACACAAGGGTCAGGGGAAGCCTTTCTGTTCTCAGCACACACACACACACACACCCACACCTCTTAGAAACTTAAACTGTAGCTTCTACTTCCTTAACAAGACTGAATATGACTGTCGATACTAATGCTAAAAAGAGGTGAAAACAGTGAATTCACAAAGCAAGAGAATTTCCCACCATTGTTTCAGCAATGGGGCGTCTTTGGGAGTTTTGGGTCTGCTTGGAAGCCCTAAGGTACGCAGAAGCGTTTTCCACACAGAACCCCCCACCTCGTTTCCACACCTCAGTTTTTACAGCTTTTGAATGGGGTGCCGTTTGCTGTTGGACGATTTAACTCGCCAACTCCCTCCGCAGGGCTGGGTCGCTGGCTGCCCTGGGCCTCTGCAGCCCTCTGTAGGCCCAGGGCAGCACTTTCTCTTGATAAACAGATCACCTGAACAATAGAAACAGACTGGAAGAAATGGATCCAGGAGCTACTGGAAACATTTTCTCGTGAAACACAATCATCTTAATTGGAGAAAATCCAGAGTGTTTACACAGTGCAGACAATTACCACACGGGCAGCCCAGGGAGCCTGCAGACACCAGCGCTCTAATCTGTAGGATACAACGGATGCGTCACTAATTAGGTTCACGCAGAGTGAAGGAATCTCTGGTGTGCCTTTCACTGAATTCGAGCTGTCCCTGAGCACAGGGAAAGAGCAGACAGGGCTGGGAGTCGCAGGTACTCATGCCATGCCTGTGGGGGATTTTACGGATGCTGAAATCATCACTTTGTGAGGAACATTTAAAACATCACCGAGACCCCATGGACTGAAAGACACTTCAAGGGGAAACCTAACTGCATCTTTAACATCTGTCACCTGCCACCTCTGGCTGAGGTGGGTTTATCTTCCAGGCATTCCTTCTAGCATTTACTTTGTCTCTCCCAAGAAAGTTCCTTATTTGCCACTTTTTCTTCTCATAAGCTGTCTATTTTAATCATCAGTGAATGAACTAGCATATGGAAATAGGAGTGGGAGAGTCCATCTGAGTCCAACATCAGAAATCTAGAATGACAGCTGTCTCCTTGAGGGGCAGTTCTGGCACCTTTGATTACCAAAAGAATGTTTTAAGAATGGCTATTTATTCCGGTCCTTTAGAAAGAAACTCGATCAGCTTTTTTTTGGACATGATGAAATAACAAAAGAAAGATGACTGCTAAAGACCCAAATCCTTTGTGGGTGAGAACATAAGATGTTTAATATTTTGCTATGTTACATACATTCCTGATAGATGTGTCAACTGGGAAATATTAGTTTAGGAAGATATTAGTTTAGCTTTAAAAAAAAAAAAGGAAAAAAACCTTCCATCTAAATTTGTTGGGATTATAAAAATAACAGCACATTTCCTTCCCTCGTTCCAGTTCAGAGTTCCCAACACATTCAGAGGTGCAGAGTATCTAATTTCTCGTGGCCCAAACAAATGTCGCAACATAAAAAAGTTTTTCATATTTACAGTAGGAACATGCTGCTGGTTTCTTAACATTCTTGGTAAAGTCAGGGAACACTTCAAATGGAAGAAGGTAGCTTAGAAACTCGTCACAATGCATTGCACTTAGTGCCTCCCAAACCAGTTCTGCAACTTCTTCTCAAGATCCCGTGTTTTATCGTAGCGCTTCGGGGACTTCGACCTACAATGAAACCAGGGACGAAGTGACATTTCCAGTAGCAGATGTCTCCAATGGGATTCTCTGGGAGGAATTCAACTACGGATTGGTTCCTGCTGCACAGTTTCCACATTTTATATTATGTTTTAAATCGCATGCAACTCTAGATAAAAATCCTAGCAAGGAATGAGAGAATCCTTTTAGAATGTGAGTTATATTGTCTCCCACCGAGGGTGCACTCCTTGACATTGAGGGGTGGGAGTTCCTGGGGGTCGCAGGGGGCGGGGTGGGCCTTTGCCTGTGTCCTGTGTGTGTGTGTGTGTGTGTGTGTGTGTGTGTGTGCAGGGGCATGGTGGGGCTGTGCCATCTGGCAGTGTCCAGCTCCTCTGTGGCGGCAGGTGCTGGCTCCCACCTAGAGAAACAGGGATTTTTATCTATGGCAATGTGTTAAATGGCCCTGGCGCATGGAAGACTGAGACACCAGGAGGTGGCCCTCGGCGCTTTAGACTTGGCACGCTTCCTCTCACACACCCAGGGAGCTGAAATACTAACCAGCATCTTGAGAGGCGACTCTGGCGCCACCATGCCTTGGCGTCGGACCCATGGACTAATTCCGCGCCTGGATGTTTGCTCTAGGTTTACTCACCCGCCTTAGCTGTCTTATGCTGCTCCCTCGAATTGCTTCCATGAGATTCTCGTGCGCTGACCTCTGTGGGGTGGACGGGCGGGAACCCTCTTCCGTTTTCTTCTCCTGCACTGATCTCAGAGAATTCTTTATTTCCTTTAGGATATTGTTGGGCTGTTTCTTAGCCTTTTTCCCTTTTTTCTTTTTCTGTCCGTTTTGCAGAGCCCTTTGGGCGGTCTCCTGTTGTTTGATGACTTCCGCGATGTTTCTGGTGATGAGCTTCTTCTCCGGGGGCGGCGGCGGGGGTGGGGGCGGCGGGGGCGGGAGCTTTTGTGGGGGAAGCGGTGGAGGAGGTGGGGGTGTAGCCACGGGAGACGGAGGCCGGCTCCTCCCTGTCTGGACTTTCTTGGGGAGTTTGGGGGAGGACCAGGGCGAGTGCCTGGGAGAGGCATATGGTGAGGAGCCCGGCGTTCCTCTTCGCCAGACTTTGGTCCTAAGGTTGGCTCCTCCGGGAGACCCCTCCTGCTGTTTTTGCTCTTGCATCCTCCTCTGCCTCTGTTTATCCATGTTTCTGGTCAGAATGCTTGTCATGCTCATTCTGGGCCCGGGCAGCTCGAAGTGGTAGCCGAGCCTCAGCAGGGTGGTGTTCTCCTTGAGCAGTTTGACGATCTCCATCTCCACCTGGCTGCCCATGATGTGCCTCTGGTTGTGGAAGCGCAGCTCCGTGAGCACCGTGTTGTGCTGCAGCGCCCTCATGATGGCCAGGATGCCCTTGCCCGTGATGAAGTTGGACTCGATGTTGACGTTGGTGATGTGCTCATTGACTTTGAGCATTTCCGCGATGGCTATGGCTGCGCCGTCGTCGGCGTGCGTGTTGGCCAGGCTGAATGTCTTCACCACCGTGTTGTCCTTGAGAGCTTCGGCAAAGCGGGTGAGGGTCTGCGTGGTGATGTTCTCTATGTTGTTCAGGTTGACTTCCACCATGTCGGGGTCATTGTTTGTAATCTTTTCCAAAGCATCTTCGATAACTGTGGGATTGCCGCTAGGGTGTATGGCAGCGGGAGAGTCAGCCCTCCTTGCACTGTGGCCATTGGTCAAGTTGATGTTTTCTATTTGACTTTTAAATATCTTGGGCTTAGTGCTGTCGGTGCAGACACCATCACAGTTGAGAGTTCCGTTGACATCTTTTGCAACTTCCACCGCTCTTTCCTCTGCCTCACTGTCTTCTTCCTCACTCTCCTCTTCCTCCTGGGACTCCTCCTCCGTGTAGACCTCTTCAGAAACCTCACTGTTGCTCTCTGTGAAGACGAGCTCCTCTTCACTGTCCTCTTTCTCCTCCTCTGCAACCTGAAGGTCAGGGCATCCTTATTAACATTGCTCATTTTTAAACAGACTTTTCTAATTTGTACAAATAATAATCGCAGGTAACACGGGGGTCTACACTGAAAAATAGTTAGTTTGAGCCCCAGCTTCTGATCTCCCTAGCTCATATGAGCAGCGCTAACATTTTGTTGCATAACTATCTATAGCTACTTCTGCACACATCGCTTTTGCTTTCTACAATATCCAAAGTCCAACTTTACTGAATAAAAATATGTTATTATTTTGCCAATTTGAAGGAATCCATTAGAATCCTGACTTTAGAGAACTCTTGATGAAATTTTCAATCCCTTGACTTCCTTTGCATTGCTTCACTCCTTGGTTACTTACATTTGGCAACTTCAAGCCTCCCTTCTGGAACCATGCGTTCGTTCTTTATTTCTCATTACCAAACAGATGACAGCAAAAATTCATACTATGTGTAAATGAGTTCCATTTTTTTAATGTTCAGAACTTCCTCCCCGGCCTTGTGTTCAGGAGCAGATGTGATGGAAGCCGTGTGTTCTCTGCCCTGCCTTGTCTTGACTAAGACAGAAACGGGGTGTCACTTGCTCCCCCAGAGCCTCCATCTCCTCCACTAGAGCTGGGCGGAGGCACTCTAGCCCTGCGCCATCTGGAAGACTCCTCTCCACTGGTCCCTGGTCTACAGAGGAAAGTCAAAGTGCAGCATCACTGCCCAGACCACACTGGGTCAAACCCTGAGTCCAAGCAAATATTATATAATAATAATAATATAATATTATATACATACATATATACGTATATATATTCAGGTAACAAAGCAACTTGACCCCTTCAACCAGCTCAGGGTTAAATGAAACAGACTGCAGAAGAGCAGGTGGGAAGAGAAGCATCCTTGCCTACATTCGACCAATTAAGAAAGGCTTTCGGGTAAGCACAATTTCGTTTTCTTTGTCGTTACAAGACTTTGCTGTGTAATCAAGCCCAAGGGACCCCTTTTTTCTCTTGTTATCTTTTATGCTTAAAATGAACTCTTGAGACTGCTGACCGAAGTCCAGCGTTTTCTCAGGCAGCAGTTTTCCTAATCCTCTTTATTCTCTCTGAAGTCCTGGGACTCTCCCTGCCCCCAAAGTGTAGTCTGTCTTCTCCCTTGATGGAAAATTCTTTTTGACCCCCAAGGCCTGCTGCTGCCCAAGGCCCATAGATATAGATGAGCCTTGGAAAACTGCACTTGCCTCCGGGTTTGTCTGCCCAGTTGTGAGAAAATAGCTTCAAGTTATCCACTTGCTTGGAGTGGCAGGCATCAAATGATGGCCTGGAGAAGGGGTCAGCACTCCTGAGATGACTGGTCCAGTGTTAATTTACTCACTTCTTCAGAAGCACAGTGTGTGTGTGTGTATGTGTAGCACAAAGAGTTGGGCTTTAACCAAGCCTGCAGGAATAAGGTGAGCAAGCCTTCTATGTATGTGTTCAAAGGTGGAGTGAGTAGCTTAATGGATGAAAAGAACTGTAGGCAGAGCTGTCCCCTCTGTCCCACCCCAAATCCATTTCATGGTGATTCTGATCCATGTCAGCTGTGTGTACATGTATGTATTTATCAGTGTGCATATTTAGTTGTTTCGGCATTTGGAGGGAAAAGTGCCTTTCTCAAAATCCAGAGTGCACCATCTTAGGCCGTTGTTAAGTTTCATACCTCTGCTTGGTTAATGACCCTAGGGTCCATATGCAAGAGCTATTTTCAAAATGTGGAAAAATAATACCGGAAACTACTGTCCAGTGATGTCAGTAGTCAGGTGACATATCCTTTAGGAAGCCTTTGAGTTATTCTGTAATATAATTTCACACTCCTCCCAGTATCTACTGCAATTTATTTGCCATTTCTCAAAGGACCGTTGGGTGCGGGTGAGGGCACGGGCCCTGTTTGTTTTGCTTACCTACCACAGCACTTAGCATGTAGTAGGGCCTCAACAAATGTTTGTTGAGCAAATGGGTCTAATCTGACTTGGTTAACAACCACAGAGAACAGCATCTGGACCCAGGAAAAAGCGGTGATATGGTAAGGTGGGTGTTGGGTCACAGGTGGCCCCCCTCTCTGCCTGAGCCCAAGGGGCTTCTCAGGATGCGGGTTTGTTGGTACATTATAGCGCCTGTGGATGGTCATTGATGGGCCGAGATGGTCGATCACGTAAGGAGGGACCATCTGGGAACAGAAAACCAAAAAGGAAGAAACGGGTTTCCAGAAGGGAGGTAGGAAGTTGCAAAAAGCCAAACTTGGCTTCCTCTGAAAAATTATTTTGGCTCTGGACTATAGATCTCCTACAGGCCACTGCCTTGGAGTGGAGGCTGATCCTTTGGCGAATGAAGACGGGAAGGTGGAGAAGAGGTGAGGGGCTGAGTGAAGAGAAGGGCGGTGATGGTGCACTGAGAAGATAAATGAAGTTGCAAGAGGGAGGAGGCCAGTCACTTCTGTTTGTCTCTCTAGCATCACTAGGTGGCAAGAGGCACGCTTTTTTAGTTCTAGTTCTGTTCCTGCCCACAATAGAGATGCTTGACTTTTGACAAGTCATGAAGCCCACGTGGATCTTAAAGAAGATGTAGCTGAGTGGTTCTAAGCATCATAAATATGGTTCTCTGTCATGGTCACCTGTGGGGTTTGTTAGACCACAGATTTGGTGACCTATGCCCAGAATTTGCAGTTCTCAGAACTTCTTAGGGGCTGCTATGCCGTGAGTGTAGCATGCATGAGAGCCATGCTCACTGTGCCAACAGAACTTCATTAGAATTTCCATTCTACTTATAGGCTGATAACACTGAGTGGGTCTCTCAGCCTCCCTTCACCGCACTTCTCGTGTGCAGAAAGGGAAGAATGAACTGACACCAAGTGGGGAAACTTACTGGCCCCTGTGAGACCCAGCAGGCGCTCGAGCTGGGGAGCTGACGGATGGGCTCCCAAGGCCTCCTGGGGACTCTGACAGAGTCAGAATTTGTGGGCAGAAGACTTTGATTTGACAGGCATTGCAGTGTTTTCAGAAACTGGCCCAGAGCCAGCACCCTGCCCACGCAGAACCCCCTGCTCCTTCGCAGGGTCTGGCTGCCATTGCATTTGCCCTCTGCAGCTGCTCCTGCAGCACACACACACACACACACACACACACACACACACCAGCACTCGGCAGCTTTGGGTTTCTACTGCAGTGGAAGTGGATTTGCACCCTTCACCAGCTTTTCTGCTCAATGTCCCTTGTGCCAACTGAATCAGCTGGCAGGCAGGGCAAGCATGGCAGCAGAAAAGTGAACTGGCGAAAAAAGGAATCAAAGTTCATCGGCCCGGCAGCCTCTCTAATTGAGCTGATGAGCTGTTGGCAGGGAGCAGCCAGCCGGCTGGCAGGATCAGGTGGGTTTCATCAACAGCTGACAGCAAGCTTTGCCCTCACTGTGCTCGTGACACTGTGACATTAAAATGCCTTTGTTGGGTGGCTGCTACAATGAGCTGTTTGTCCTGGCTATGCTGAGATAATTTTCTTGTCTGAGGAAAATTCTTTAATAACTGTCACCAAAGTGTCATTATATTTTATCAGACTTTGGACATTCATTCCCACATCAGAGAAAAAGAAAACCTCTTCAAATGAATGTTTGGAGGAATTGACTGGCTGATCTCGTGTGTCCTTGCTTTCTCTCCCCTGTTCTATCTCTTCAATCCAGGCAACCACGGTGGCCGTGGCAGACCCTGGCCTGATCGTAACAGCCTTTCCTGCATCCGTAAGGATGTAGGCAATGTTCACACATGTCTAGATGCAAATGAACCCACACCTGCTCCCAGCCCTTCAATTGCAAGCATCCAGCAGCACCCGGATGGGTACTGGGGTACCCTTGCCGTTGCTTTCAGGCCATTTTCATTTTTACATGATACCAGGGATTTTGAACTTGCTCCTGACCTACATTCTCCCACAAATTCAAGAATTTCTTTCTTACACTGACATTTTATTGCTTTAACTGCTCACCCAGAGCAGTTGAATTTCCTTGCAGTAAATAACCCTTTGGGTCACTTCGAAGTAAGGGTACACAGCGGTTTCAGAAGGATGGGGTTTGGCTCAAACACGAGCCCTGGCCTTGGAGAGATCGGCACAAAGCAGGGAGGGCTGGAGCGGATCCTGCACCCAGGCAGACTCCACTTGGGTGCTCAGATGGGCTCAGGATGTGTGATCCTCCTGAAATCTTATGCACACGTTGTAGGCATCTGCAGTCATGCTTTCTTGCTGCAGGTCCATCACTAAGAGTCAGAGGATTTTCAGAAGGAACACTGCCCTGACTCCCTGGCTGGGCAAAGGGGGACAGAACCCTGAAGAACTGACCATTCAAGGTCTAGAGTGAGTGAGGACCAGAACAAGGCCCCTTGAATCTCAGTTCTATCTTTATAAAAGAAAAGGAATGTTCTGAACTGAAAAAATAAGTTGCATAAACACACAATGAGTTCTTCAGAGAGTTCATGAGAAATACAAGTTATGAAAAAGCCACGCATACTTTGAAAAATCTCTTGCACCCCAAGAAGCCTGCCTTTCAGTTCCACTTTCCACAAACACTTGGGAAATATTGTCATCTATGCTAGGCCACATCCGCAACTTATCACTTGGATAAGACACGTTTAGAACACTATTAAAACACATACCTTGGTTGTTGTGAGCTATATTCCTGTCTTAAGGCAGTCAGTTAGGATGAATTGGATGGCCATAGATATTACATATATTTAAGCATTGCAGTTGTTTTCAGTAGCAGCTTACAAGGAGGGTTACAAGCAGGTTAAAGTGAGGAGGACCGAGAAGTTAGAGAGATCGAGGTGCCTGGGTTCGGAATGGGGGGGAGGCAGTGAGAGCAGCCAGGGGACAGAGTCCCAGAGCCTACCTTTCCACACTCCCCCAGCCTCTCCTTCTCCAAGAGCTTCTGAGACTCCTTTTCCCAATAGGCCATCAGAGCCTCTCTGCTGAATGTCCCTGTGGGGGTTTTCTCAGTCAAACTCTTTTGCCTTTGCCCCACTGGAAGGCTGCGGTCAGGTTCAATGTCATCCAGCTCCCTCTCTAGCTCCTTCAGCTCCTCGGCTGTCAGGGAAGCAAGGAGTTCGTCTTCGTCTATGGATTCATATTTACTAAGTCCTCGTCTGTAGCCAAAGGTAGACATGGTCCCTTCGTTGTCAGACCCACAAGGAGCTTGAAGAACCAGGCATTCAAGGCAGCCGGACGCAGGCAGGGAGGCGAGTGGGCAGGCAGGTCAACAACTGGTGCCTCCAGTGGCTGCTGTAGCCTTTTAAGACTGGTGATGCAGGGCTATGACAATGCGGAGGGGGTGAAGGCATGGGCTGTTTTAAGCATCAGACGTCAGCTAGACATTTGAACACAAAGAATGTCACATCGGTGGTGGACGGAGGTCTGGGAACCAGTGGGGATTATGAGCACACTGGCCAGGGCCATATTTAGCAGAGCTCGACAGCTCCTGAGGACAGTCAGAGGATGTCCCGACAGGGAGCACAGGGCTGTCCACTTTGTGCTGAAACAGGACAATGCAACTTAAAAACAAATTGTCACCACTACCACAGCCATGAAAAATCCCTGCTGTTGTAGTCCTGGGGGCCAAGAAGTAGACCCCACAGTATTCTTTGGGTTGTTATTCAAGTTCTCTTAGAAACGTATCATGGCTGGCAGGAATGCGGAGAGAGGACCATCGTGGTGGAGTACCTCGCAGTTGCACCGTGCTTGCTGGTTGCAAGGCACCTGCACGCATTCTTCCCAGCTGGGAGTCCTGTGACGTGGATAACCTTCCTGAGAGATCACGTGAACAGTTTCAGGTCAGACAGTGAGAAGTGCCCACTGCCCGAAGTGACTGCCTTCTCTGTGTGTCTTTGGGAGATCGCCAGATTATGAAAACAATGTAGAAACCTCAACAATTAGTGATAGAGGTATGAGTTATTAAGGACAGACTATGTCACCCTGGAGCAGAGTATTTTCCATGCTTTATCTCATTTAATCCCCAAGTCTTGAAAGGTGGCTTTTGGAAAAGACCCCGAAAGCACAGGCAATTAAAGCAAAAATAAATTACTGGTGGAGGCTCAGAGGTTACGTAGCCTGGGAGAGTTGAGATTCGGTCGAGCTACAATTTAAATGCAAAGGTGTATCTAAGCTCAACATTGAAGAGATGGCATTTTCTCACACACACACATTTTTTAAATGAGCGTATTAAAATATATACAAAGTATCTTTCAAAAGTTACAAATCTGTATTATAAAAGCTGCTTAGAGTCCAAAATTTTTTTGCCCCCAAATAATCTTATCTTTCAATTCTATCTTCTATGAACTTCTTAAAATAACTTCCTAGTTTTCAAAACTTTATAAAAGCTCAATTCTTTTGGATCTCCCATTTGGGTGCAGGGTCCCAAGGCTTTGGGCCGTCCTCTACTGCTTTCCCAGGCCACAAGCAGGGAGCTGGATGGGAAGTGGAGCAGTTTTACCATCAACTGGTGCCCATATGGGTTCCCAGAGCTTGCAAGGGAGGGATTAGCAAACAGAGCCACCATGCTGAGCTCCTGGGGGTGGCTTTTTTCCAATAGGTCTTGCCAGGAAAGAAGTTTTCTCCCAGAGAAAGAGTTGTGTCTGCCCTCCAACAGCCTAGAACGATGAGTGAATGTTCAGGAAGTACTCTTGGAAGCACATGCGACAGAGCAAACAAGTGGGTGTATAAAGTAAGTATGTATCCATATCTTAAAACACCCAAAGAGCACAGTGTTATAGACCCCCTTAAAAACAACAATACCACCTTAAAAATACAAGACCGGTTATGACCAGGAAAGTGTATTTAAAACAAGAATTGAATTCCTGAAGGAGCACGAAGTCTTAGCTGATCCAGGTTTCTTTCTTGTGAGGTCTCCCTAAGTAATTTTCCAAACGTGCTGCCGGATCGTACCAGGTTTCTCCAGCAGGCAAGATCTCCACAGTCCCAGGGAGCCCTGTGCTCACAGGCCTAGAGGCAGGTGCTTCCTGGTCCAGCGGCCTGAGTGTGGCCCCTCACCGTTGGCAATGCGCATCTCAGGGAAGCATTTATGTCACAGATGCCCTTCTGAGTTAAGTCGGTCTCTGTTGAATGATGAGGAAAGGTAGAAATCTTATCCTATGTTATCATTCGCAAATTTGAGAAACTGGAAATTCTTTCATCCACGTTAAGGATCCAGCTGCTTAACGGGCTCTTCTCAGCTTTCACTCTCCCTGAACTAGAGCCTGCCCTCTCTTTCGATATTTTTCAGCCTCGTCTAATCTCTGCTGTGGCAGGTGCAAAGTTGCTTCCTGGAATAGATGCTGCGTGCTTCCCCCTTACGCAGGAGGCTCCGGCTTTCTGGCACTTCGCACAGATGCCTAGGAGGAAGCCGGCTGAGCGGACGCAGAGGCTCCCGAGGAAGCTGGGCTTCCGCTGTGCTCCGTTTGCTCGGAGCTTCGCCCAGAGCCGGAGAGAGGCTGCTGGGGGAGAAGGACAGGCGGAGGTCAGGCTCTGGCCGGGCAGCAAGCACGCGGGGCCAGGGATCAGCTGCAAATTGGCAACTCCCTTATCAAGGCTTGACTTTCACACTCGGCAGCCAAGCAGATCCCCCCGTGATGCCAGTGCATTTGCGCGTGAGTCAAATGTAAAATCATTGGAGCTATTTATAATAATAGCTTGCAATTGTATAACAGGTCTCGTTCACAAGATACTTTAATATACAGCCAATGTGCCAGGCGGGATATGCCAGCATTTTGATCTCCATGTAATAATTGAACATATAGAAACTTACTGTGTGTGAGGCAACAGTGTAACAATACAGTTACTTCCATTTTACAAAGTTTGAAAAAGAATTCTGAAGTCCTGAGAGATTAAAGAATCATGCACTTCTGTTTTACATGTGCAAATTGCTGGATCTTGAGGTCTACTAGTTGGTCGTTTCAAAATGTATCCAATGGCCAGGACTCGCAGTGAGGCATGGAATGCATGCTCTTGTGTGTGGAAGCCCCAGTCATCACTGTGACTCTGATGAAACGTGTAAAAATGTGTCCCACACAAGTAACAAATAAATGCAAACTCATGACATTGAAACCATAAAAACAAAAATGAGAGATGTTCAGAACCCAAAAGTGGAAAATAAAGAGCTGTTTCATTCATTTTGGTCTTTTATTTTTATACAACATGGAAAAGAGTTCTGCTTAGAAAGGAGGCTTTTGATCAGCGTTCGTATCACGAGTGTGCCCGCCAGCCCTTCACAGCACAGGAGACCCTTCTTTTCAGCCCTCAGAACTGCATGGTTTTCTGCATTTGTTTGTAAATTTAAAAAGAGAAATGGGTCCAGTGCTGTGGAGGAGTGGGCTGACCCTGCTTTTCCTGGTCTTGTCTGCAGAGCCAAACTTGTGAGCTATGTGCTGCCAGTGAGAGCCGAGAGCTTTCCTCTGAGCCAGATGGTTTTGTTGTTCAGCTGGGACCCCTCAGCAAGGCTGTACAAATGAACCACCTGTCCCTGAGAGGTGTGTCCTCCCATTCTTTACTTTATGCAAGTTTTTTTTTTTTTAAGATTAATGGAGTTATTTAAAAGGCAGAGTTGAGAGAAATCTTTCATCAGGTGGTTCACTATGCAGATGCTGTAGGAGCCAGTGCTGGGCCAGGTGTCAGGAGCCTCCTCTGGGTCTTCCATGGGTGACAAGGGCCTGAACACTTGGGCAATCTCCCGCTGTTTTTCCCAGGCCATTAACAGGGAACTTCATTTGGAAATGAAGCATGTGGGATACGAACCGGTGACTCTGTGAGATGCCAGCACTGTAGGTAGCAGCTTTCCTTGTTCTACCACAATGCCAGCCACCCAAGTCATTTTTTGTTCTGTTTTGTTTTGAATGGCATAGAGAGCACTGAACCAGTGAGCCAGGGAGCCAGAGAGGAGTCCTGGTAACCCCTGAGACGGACTAGGGGAGGGGCAAAGCAGATTCAGAAGTCCGAGCCAGGCCTCGATGTGGGTGTCAGGAACCCAACTACTTGAGCTGTGAGCACTGCCTCCCCGGGTCCCTGTTGTCAGGAAGCTGGAATCGATACACTTGAACTGGGATCTGAAGTCCTGATCGCTATCTTATGTGCAAAGTCAAATGCCTTCTCCTAAAATGACTTCTTGAAATGTACTTTACATGGCATAAAATTCCCCCACCTTAAATGTGAATTTCAATTTTGTTAAAAAGTGTATCAAGTAGTCCAGGTATGAACACACACCAGCCACAGCACAGGTCTGTCTGTTACCCCCAAACACATCTTGGTCTACTTGCAGTTAGTCTTGGCTCCGGCACTGAGCCCCAGGCCACCACTGACTTGTTTTCTGTCTTCATATCTTTGATTTGGAGTGGTGCTTTGGTCAGACCTCGCGGCTGAACTGCGATGCGGCGTGTTGAGTTGCATTGCATTGCAAAGGCATGCGGCACTGTGCTATGCAGTAGGCAGGCATTCCAGTTGCTTCCACTTGATGCTGACCTGAAACAATGAGGTAGAATAAGCGTGGGGGTTGGAATCACAAGTCGCAGGCTGAGTCCCAGTTCTGGACTCTGCATCGTTAACCACATTCTTTCTTCATCAGCAGAGAGGAGGTCATCCCCGACCCCCTGTGCTGCTGCTAGGGGGCTGGCAGACACCAAGTGAGGTAATACGTGTGAAATGCTTCATGAACTGTGAACCAGGGGACAAAGGAAAGGCGTTGTTACCAAGGCTGCCTTCAAATGGAGAGACTGTTCCCAAGATTCCCCTCATGTTCATAGAATAACTAGGTTCTGCCTTTAGGAAATACCTATGGGGTGTGTGTGTGTGTGTGTGTGTGTGTGTGTGTGTGTGTACTTGGGGCTCTTACAATCTAGGAACATTTTAGGGTCATTCTGCCTCTGAAGTTTACTTGCGTCTTAACCCTTATTTTTGATTTTCAACTAAAAAGCTTTTTTTTCTTCTGAAGAGTCTTCAGGTGCAATAGACTCCCTGCTGGAAGTATGCAACTCAGTGTGGTGCAGTTCAGGTTTCATCAGGGTCCCCAACCCCCACAGAGCCTTTAGACTGCAGTACCTCCAGTGATCTGGGCAGGCCGTTAGGCGTGGAGGGGTGGAGCCTAGATGGGCAGGCTTCCGGTCCGTTGACCAGAACCCTTAG